AAAGGAGACAAATGTTATATAATATCATTAGTAGACTTAGAGAGTGTGATACCACGTGTAGCAACAGATTTTAGTGTCACTGATTAAGTCACCACACAACAGCGTGACTTGAATTAAAATTATTTAAAATCCAGCAACAAAAATCTCACTGACAGTGAGAAATATGTTATTCTGGAAATTTTTAAATTTATAAATAAAGTTGTTTGTACTATTGTTACAGTTTCTAATTTTTATTGCTACTTATAATGTACTATGTGTACAAAATAATAATATATGTTATTAAAAAATGTTACTGGGGGGCATGGTGTGATTACATTACAAGCTTTTATTGTACATTTTTAGAATTTATGGCACTCAGTCTCAAAGAGGTTTCGTGTCCTTGCCTAAATTAAAATAGAAAAAGATAGAACTGTACTAGTAACTGGTCCTTCTAGGAAACAACTGCTATGTCTGCAAGTCTGGAACCACTGAAGAGACAGGAATATAAGAAATATGTCTGGAGCGACATTCAATGTAATGATGTTCATACCTAGTTTCAAAACAATCTGTTCAGTAGAAACATTTCTGACAGTACATCATTGATCGATAAAGGAACAGACACTGGACTCATAAAAATAACCCTCACATGAGGCAGTCAACATTTTTGTTTCAAGTAAAAAATATTACGATATATATTACGAACATTATCTCATTACACACTCACCTTCTGCTTCGGCACAGAGCTTGTGGTACCACACCTTTGGACAGTGTTCACAGGATAGCACTGGCAGCTTCTCACGTTGCTGAAAGTACACAACATACAGCATTCTCATCACAAAATTCTATAATTTTTATATCAGATGTTTAACACATTCACTCCCAGGTACTTGGCTGCTGGTTTACCTCTCAGTCATCTTCAGTAGTATTTCATGTTCTACAGATATGAATGACAAATGACCTACAAATTTCAATGAATTCCATTAAGGTAACTGCATGCAGTGACAGAATAAAACTACATGCTCAAAGTGTGTTCTGAAAGCGTTATGTTTTGACTTCTAAAGGCATGCTGCTGTTTGACCAGGATCATACAGCGATGATAGGAATATGCCCTGATATGGCAAAAAGCGCCTTTCTCAGAAAACTGAGAACACAGTTTCACATCCTGTAACTAGATAGTGTATGCAGGTACCTTTCGAAAGTCCTTGAATCACTGATCGACTGCCAATCACTTCTCAAATGTAATACTTCAAAATATTTAGAATTTTGTTAAAAATGGCTTAGCTGATATATAACAGGCTGTGAGCATGTTAAGAACACAGAAAAAAAAGTCAGATTATAATTAATTCAATTCCAATGCCACATAATCATTGTTCACAAAAAGAATATTATTAAATATCCTTGAAGCCGTTTATTTTTTAAATTATTGTTCCTTACAACTCACTATATTTTTTAAATAATGATATTTATGAAAGCAAGTTACATCAAAATTCATTATCTGAAAAACTGGACAGAACGCAAAACATTTATCACATAAATTCAATAATATCGGAATAATAGGTGAATTTGATACAACTCTCTTTGTCAACACTTATTTAATATAATATAATAATTTCAAATTCTTACGTTACAAATCTGGTAACTTGAAAAGTAAACACCTTACTTTCCACCACATCTATTATGACCCAATTTAGTTGACGGACAATACGTATACAGACCTTGTACGAGAGCCACAGCCCTGATTCTGAGTGCTGCACAATGACAGTACTGTCACCATATTTGATGATGGGAGCTCCGATCACTTCTAGATCCCTTTCTTCCAGGACAACTTTTAGGTCATCCTTCTGTTGTCGCAAGCAGAAAGTGGACGAGTCACTGGAACTTACAGCAAACAAATAATGCTTCTAACAGGCATACAAATAAACTATCAGCAAGATCAAAATCTTATCTACATAGTTACAGCAGTGGTATGCAAGTAAGAATGGATTACCTGAGGTGCTGCATGGGTTAGTACATCTTAACTGATGCTGGCAGCATATGGAGGGCAAAAGAGTTTTTATGGCTTACTAAAACCGGCAAAAGAATAATGTCGAAAAAGACCTGTACTGGTTGAATCTCCCAAGGTCCTTTTATTTTATTAGGAACAGTAATAGATACTGAGCCAAATTTAGTAGAATAGTTCAGTGGTTGGAACCCCCTCCCCCCTTCCGCCCCAAATTAAGTAGGATTTGAGGTTCTCGTGGTGGCAAGTATGAAGATGGCCGACTTCTGGGTTGTTGCGCTGTGTAGTCTGGTAGAAGTCATCAGCACAATAATGATGGAGGCAGCAAGTATCTCTGAAACATCAGTAAACTTCTACCAGACTACATGGTGCTACAATCAGCCATCTTCAACTCTCCGAAATGTTTCATACTACATTAAGAATAGGTTCTTCCGATAAAATGAAGTTATAAAATACAGAGATAAACTTATACTTACTCCAGTGGTAATGCTAATTCATTAATCTATGTAATGAGAAATGGTTTCTATCAATTCATCTTCCAGAACATATTCAAAAATAAATTCCCAGTCAAGATGCTACAAGATGTGGCTCACATTCTTTTGTACCAATAAACATTGGAAATAAAGATGTCCATCTCACCTGCTACCAAATCATCAGCTACAGATTCTGACTGGCACTTGAATACATATCCAATGTACGACTCCACATTCAACTCTCGACAGATGAACCCAAAGTGGTCTGCATTCTTGATTCCCTGCACATAAAGTTTGCACCCATCACAGCAAGTTTTTCTGACTTAGTCCCTTAAAGATATTTAAAAAAACAACACTGAAATATGTCAAACGGAATCTTAAGGCTACACGAGAGGCTAAAATGTAGATAAGAAGACATTATTAACAATTTGCTATGCTACTTAAATTCAGTGTTTGCTTATGCTAACAAAGCAATTTAAAACCAGCAAATTTTTATGCTGTGGCAATATGAATTTAAATATAAAGAAGATGGCTGTATTTTGGTTTGTTGTGCCATGTACACTGGTAGACAGTCTTTTTCATATCTGGTGCCACGAGGCTATTATCTGACTTGTACAGGGATCCATACTTGACGCACTCCTCTCCTTTCACCGACAATTTGTTGCATATGATGCTAATGTTGTACGGAGTACAACGCTTCAATGGTGCTGCTTTACGCCACCACACCATATGGACTTTAAATTCAGCATCAAAAAAATTCTCACACCATGTCAGATGTTAATACTAGTACAAAAATGACTTAAAAATTCACAGAAAATAACTATGCACAATACTAAAGATGACTGGATGTTGCGCCACGTAGTCTGGTAGAAATTGACTGATGTTTCAGAGGCGTTTACTGCCTCCATTATCAAAGACATTTTCCAGGATGATATGACATATAGTCTGGTAGAAACTGACCAACAGTGCAAAGGTGCTTACCACCTCTATGCCTGCTGATAGAGGCTGTAAACACCTGTGAAATGTTGGTAAACTTGTACCAGACTATATGACATATCATCTCAGAAAAACAGTCATTTCATTTTCATGCTTGACACAATAAGAATCTGAATCTCATGTATGTATAATAATGTATTCAAACTTTCACAGTGAGACACACACACTGAATGTAGTTCTAGTGCTGAAACTAGTGTTGACTTGTTAGGCAGTACAAAAAGATTACACCACAAGATAGAAAAAAAAAATGCAGTGTGAACATAGATTATGTATTGGGACGGAGAGATGAAATCGATTCAGTAATGAATTTAAATTTTTCTGGAGTGTAAGGAAAAAGTTAATATCTTCCCATTCATGTGCATGAGCCAAACATTAGGTTTCATGTTACTCTGTTCTAGTGCAACTGTTTCGAAATTGTCCATGTGCACGTTCCCTATTACTGATGACAACGGAAAGCCCATTGTCATTCTATATGTTAGTAAAACTCTTCACTGACTTGGAAGTGCATAGCCAGATCTGCTTCCAGGACATCTTGTGTAAGCACACTGTATTCACTTGATCAATTAAAAATGTACACAAAAGACTCAAATGAGGAGAGGTTATGTGAACGTTACCAGACTTAACATTTATCATATGGAAACAGGGTATCCCCCATCCCCCCCATCATGGAGAAGCCAGCTGGACAGAGCTGTGATCCATGTTCAATAACATTAAAATATAAAATTATGTGGATGGCCTGAAAAGTATTGCCTCCTCTTAATTAAAACATGAATGGGAAGGAATTTTTCAACGGAACAAAAACATAGGAAAAATTTAGAGTTTACTCTTCAAAATTATACATTATTTTTCTACAGTCACCTTCTATTTCAATGTACTTATGCCAATTATAAACTAAATTTTTTAAATAAATTTTTGTAGAGCTATGAGTTTTCACAAAGAAATTATCTCACAGCAGACTTCACTTCTTCATCTGACCTAAGCGAAGAGATGAAAATCACTTTGCTGGATCTGGGCTGTATGCGGAATAATGCGAGAGGGAAAAACCCAGACATTCAATCGCTTCTCGTGTTCAAGTACTGGTGTGAGATCTAGCGTTATGTTGAAGGATTGTGTGGTTTTTGTTATCAACTCTTTTGAATCTTTTTGTCAACTTATTTAAGGATTCGATACAATGTTCAGATTTAATGGTTGTCCCTCATTACATAAAATCAGCAACATCCCAAAATGCAGTCGCCACACTGAGAGCTCAAACACGAGAAGAGATTAAATGCCTGGCTTTTTCCCTCTTACCTCGTCCCCCATATAGCCCAGACTTTGCACTGAGCGATTTTAATCTCTTCCCTAAGCTCAAGGAACATTTAAGGGGCAAGCCCACTGTGAGACAACTTTTTGCACAAACAAAACTCAGAGCTCTATAAGAATAGATTTAAAAAAAATATTAATTTATCATTGGCATCAGTGCATTGAAGCAGAAGGTAACTGCAGGAAAATAATGTACGATTTTGAAGAATAAACTCTAAATTTTGTATACGTTTTTGTTTCATAAAAAGATTCCTTCCAATTCACGTGTTATTTAAGAGGAGGCATTACTTTTCAACCCACTTTCACGTACATATTCCAGGTCATAACCTCCAGCTACCCATTTCTTCTCCAGGCTCAGCAAAATAGTTAATCAAGTCTTCAAGGCACATCACCATTTCACCTAGATTCACAGACTGGAAGAACAAGGACGCACGTCTGTAAACCTGCAGAGCTTCCAGGCCCCTGGAACAAAAGCACGACAGCTACAATAGGAAGCCATAGACTGGAAATACACACACCAATTTTTTTATTTTGAAAATTCCACAGGTAAGAACAAATGTAAGACATCAATGGTGCTCTGCAAAGTCTCATTTGCAGACCAGTAAATTAAGAGCGGGCAATCTGACAACTAGTACCCCATTTGCCTCATACTGCGCAGTTGGTACACTATGCACGTATTTACATTTGAATATCATCACATGCACGAAAATACCAGAAGTATAAAAATCTAATTACTGATCATATATCAGCTAAGAGTAAACAATTTAAAGTGGAATTAAAAATAATTTATTTTGACACACACCTTCCACGCTAATGATGAATTTCTAATTTTGTAATTTATACTATTGCAATCATGTATGTAAATTTCAAGTATGGTCATGAGTATAAACTTTTAGGCATATGGAAAATAACATATATGCATGTATTCTTATGTGGATGTGTTGTTATTTACTTGGTATATTAATTTAATAGTAATGTATTTTGAAATTAGTGTCATGTTATCTATGCTACTTATAAACATACTGTATGGAATTATTAAAAGTGTATTCCCAAACCTGCAGCTCATAAAAATACACTCTTCTCCTACCCAAATAGTCATTGAAACCCTTTCATCATCACATTTCCTGAGTCACATAACTAACTAACTAACTAGATGGCTTACCGAACCCGAAGGTTCATCACCGAATTAACCAAAGCCCTCCACTGGACCCTGACCTCGGCCAACAAAATCCAGTCTCCTTCAACTCCTATCTCCCATAGATCCCACCTGACATTATCCTCCCATCTACGTCTAGGTCTCCCCAGCGGTCTCTTCCCTTCAGGTTTCCCAACCAGTACCCGGTGCACACCTCTTGTCCCATCCATGCGCGCTACATGCCC